AAAGTGCCCAGATCATTTGGGTCTCGTCTCTTGTTCAGCAGCACTGCCAACGCTGCCTGCCCAACAGACCTGGTTACAAGAGCCAGAGGGATGGTGGTTGTTACGGGGCAGAACAAAGTGAGTGGCAAGCCGGACGATGCCATGTCGAGCTCAGATGCAGAGGATGATTTCCAAGAGCCTGCCACACCTACTGCGACCCAGGCAGGGCAGTCGCTCCCGCTGCTACCTCAGCAGGTAAGGGCTTGCGGGCGTCTTCTCTTCTGAGCCGATAAGGAGCTTTCATTTGAGCTCGCGCTGTTCAGGACCTGGGGATTATAGTATTTCTCATGGTGGAGCCTTGAAGAGTTTCCAGTTTAGTTTCCTTTGCTAGCCGGCTTGTGGGATGAAACCGAGCTCTTCCTTTTGGGTTTGAAAGCCTTCTCTGCATTGCTCTAGAAATCTAAGCTTCCCCTTTCCTTTCCCACCCCACTTTAGGATTTATTAAATACCAGTAGGAAGCACCCTAGTACCACTGCAGCTCCCATAGGAGAAGAGAGCGTCCATCAGACGCTGCCGGGCCTGCCACAGACTGCAGTGCAACTACGTTGGTTTTCATCTTGAAGCCAGTGGAGCAGCATTTGCTTGAAAATGGGTTTGATTTTGCCCCGAGGATTGCTGATTCTGTGGCTTTCCAAAGAACCGTAACTGAGCATTAATGCTTTAATTTTACTTTTGCTATGAAAGCTGTCCTAATGAATGAGAGCGTGAAAGGCAACCTGAAAAGGAGCATAAATATGTCCAATAACTTTAAAAACAGAGAGGGTGGGAGGGGGGATGTTCTGCATATTAGTGACTTAAAATTCACCATTGTGTGGTATAATGGGGGGAAGAGGGCTTAGGTACTTACTAGACCATTGTGGAAGGCCATTTAGAAAATAGAAAGTAGCGATCAAGTATAAAATGACATTATTTCTTCTCTTGTTGTTGTTGCCGTCTCTGCTTCCGCGCATCATGTTTGTGATTTCAGTATCCTCCATGATCCTCTCTTCCCCTCTCTTCCGCAGTCAGATTTTTGCTAAATTTTGTCACTTCTTTCTCAGTGAAGTCTTTAAAAGCTCTCCTGTCCCCTGTGTCTTGGCTGCTATAATCTCTGTTGTCTTGCCAAAAAGTAAAGGTGAGAAGAATCCCTGTTTCCTCTTCGTGACTAGCTTTCTTTGCAATCCTTTGAAAGTCTGCTGCTAAAAAAGTCACCTTTCTGGCTTGCTGTATTAATTCCCCTTCCTAAATAAATCCCGTCATTGTCCTCTCGTTCTTTTGCTGCACAACTTCAAAATCCTAATTGTAGCCTTTTAAACTCGCCGCAATTTGTCCTTGTTCATGCCACATTTTGGTTGAGATGGTCACCTTCCTGAAGATTTGACTCTCTCCATGTTCTTCCGTTCTTCATAAGCTTTCAAGACGGGTCATCCTGTGTTTATGATTGTTATCCCGTGTACTGTAGAGAGTTTGATCTGCTAAATGGGGAGGGAGGAGGAAGGGTCTTGGCATATACACATTTGCGTAGCACCACCGAATAATTTTCAAATGGTGATATGATTGCTTTTTCAGTTCCCTGAAGTTATTCCGCTTAATGTAGGAGGCATGTATTTCACTACCAGGCTGTCAACATTAAGACGGTATGAGGACACCATGTTGGCTGCTATGTTTAGCGGAAGGCACTATATTCCAACAGATGCTGAAGGCAGATACTTTATTGACAGAGATGGAACTTACTTTGGGTATGTGCATTGTCCTTACTAGAAATATGTTGAAGCTGTTACTGAGAAAAGAAACATTAATTAAGAAACAATTAAAAAAAAATCAGGGGTGAATTTGCATCCCTCTAATTCAATCCCATTTTGAAGGTTGTTTTTTTTAGCAGACTCGCATGATTAACTTGCAAACCGAGTTTTGGAAACGTCCTTCAGAAAGCAATCAAACTTCAGAATACACCACAGTCCAAACCGCCTCTTCGTTTCATTACTAACAGCTATAGCCAGCTTTACAAGGGGAAAAAAAATGTTTTTGATTCTCAGCAAAAGTATGTACATGCGGTGTTCTTCTCTGCAGGGACTTGCATTCCCTAACGTGTAAAAAACAAGCTGTTGGACAGCATGACTCACAAAAACAATATTTCTGTCCTTTTTTGTGATTGTTTTTTCTATTGTAATTTTTACTCTACAAAGGGTGGAGCCATGATGTTTAGTAGGTTTCTTTGATAAGGTCCTCTTTCAGCTGTTATCATTTTCAGGATATCTGTGGACATTGGAACAAATGCAATGTAGAATACAGCTGTGCAGCCAGTTGTGGGAAGAAAATATGCAACGCAGAAGTTGTCCAACTAATTTAGTCATTTGACTTCAATCTGAAATATTCTTGTTTGCTAGAACTTAGTTTTGGATAATATTACAACATTTCTTTCTCTCTCCATTTTGCCTCTCTTTCTCATACCCACATGTTGTTAGCCTGGATTGCACATTGCTTCTCTAAATTCTGGTTTATCTAAATTTAGGCAGGCAGATTAACATTATATATGGCTCAGATCAGGCTGTCTTTCAAGCCTGCAGGTGTTTATCCATATTCAAAACTGCCAGATTGCTTCCAAATTAGACTGTGTAATTAGAAATTCGACTCAGCTCTAATTTATAAGGCGTTTCCAAAAAGCAGGAGGTTAGAGTGAAATCTGTGCTTCTAATGGGATGTCATTTTCCAAGAAATAAGGTGCAAAATGTACTTGGCTTGATGACTGTAAGAGAACCATCCACTCCTTAGGACCCGGAGAAAACGAAGTGTTAGCCACCTTTTGTTGTCTTTAAAAGACATATTTACTTACTGTGGGTGGCAAAACAGTACAAGGCTCATAGCATTTGTTTAAACTACTGATTTCTGACAATGCTATATTTACAGCTCTGCACTGTTATAATCCTTCTGAAGGCCTAAAAATTGTATAGCATTCTTTCAATTGATTATTTTGATCATGATGCTACTGATGCTTAGTCATTTTTGGTGTCTGTGGGACTGCTAAAACCAAGAAGCACTGCTGTCAGTAGTATGTGTTTGCAGGCTTAGACCATTGCTTTTCAAATGTGTCTTTGGCATTCTGACCTCATTTCTAAAATAAGTCCTGATTTGCCCAGGGGTTCTCCTCATCTCGTCAGCTAAGAAGGACTTAATCCTTTTCAAAGCCAGTCAGTCACTTTTCTTCATCTGCCACAAAATCCAAAATACAGGAAGGAAGAATTTCCTGGCATGATTACCCTATCGTATTTGAAAATGAGCAGTTCTTGCCATTTGGCATTTGCAAACTGTCTGCTGTTGAAACCCCCTTTTAGGAAACTGACTTTCTTGTGATATTTGTAGTACATATTAAAAATGTCCATGTACCCTAAAATCAAGCAAGTTCTTTTATACTTTATCCACTATATTATAATGAAAAGTGTCCATAATAGCTGTTCTTTGTTAGGGGGCATAAGGTCACTAACCAAATGTATTTGTTAGTGTTTGTGAAATGTGTTTTCCATCCTCAAAATGTTCTTCTTTAAACCACTTTAAACAGTGGCATTCAAAAGAAAGATCTGTCCTGTATCAAAATAAACGTAGGTGCACAGATATACACTTATACGTTTGGACCCTGCAGGGATCCCCTCTGGGATCACTCACCCGGAGGCCCACTGATATCAGTGGGCATCTGGGTGGGCCCAGAGGACCAATCAACATGGTCCTCCAGGAAAATCAGAGGTTAACTGATTACGGTGATAATTACTATGTTGGCACATGTTTACAAGAGACTGTAATCTGCATCCTGTTCCATGTTGGATGGTCAAAGCCTCATGACCAAGTTTCTTGGTGTGTTCAAGTGACACATTTTCAGTGTCACAGACATCAAATTTCCCAATCAAAGGCTCAGAAATGACAAAGGACATTAAATATGTGTATTTGGAAATACATTTCACAGTTCTTTCAATTACTTTCTGAGCTGCAGAATTGCTGGCCCAAATAAAATGAACACTTGGGAACCAGGATTGCAGGGTTTTTTGTGTTTTTTTCCAATTTTGAAAACATGTTATCATATAGCATTTTCTCGCCTTGTTTAGAGACATACTGAACTTTCTGCGATCTGGTGACCTTCCGTCAAGAGAACGAGTGAGGTCAGTTTACAAGGAAGCACAATATTATTCTATTGGACCATTGCTAGACAATCTAGAGGATGTCCAACCTCTTAAAGGAGAGAAAGTTAGACAAGCTTTCCTGGGCTTAATGCCATATTACAAAGGTAAGCAAAGGATACAGTATTTTTATATTTTACAGTTTGTTGTACAAGTAGTCTAAGTAAGACTCCAACATTATTCATGATGATGGGGAATTTTTCAGTGTACTTGAGCAGGGGGCAGCATCAAGCCATAAAGGAAGAACCAGAAACTGTTTCTTTGAATCTGCACTGGTTCTCTTGAATTTTGCATGTAATTCCTTGGGCCTGAGGCTGTGTATTTAAAGAGCTGTAAAGATCAAATCATCCAAGTTTTTGAGGCATTAGTAATATCGTTATGTCTTGCATTATTTCTTGTATGTGCATAATATCATTCCTTAAAGATCCTTATCAAAATGCTGCTTATATTAAAAAACAATGCATTGCTTGACGAACCTTGACTTGCAGAGAATAATGCCATACACATGTCTTTGACTCTGAGACCAGAAGATAGGAGTTTTTGGTACAGTGTTCCTTTCCTCATTCCTAAATTTGAATTTTGATCATATGATTGAAGCACTACAATGAAGTTTTCCAATAGAAGGTTGTGATTAATCAGAACTTAAGAAAGACGTATATGTATATAGCAAAGACACTACATTCTCAAGACAGCTGTGTGCATCTTATTACAGTACTAGACTGTATCTAGCTACAAACAACCTTTGAACATATCTGCTAAATATTTCTAGCACCGTATACAGAATAATTTATTACATTTTGATTGCATCTGAAAATACTGCGCTCTGTTTCTCACAGGACTTGCACTGGTTTAATTTCAATCTTTTTTTGTGCGTGTGATTGTTTAGAACACTTGGAGCGGATAATTGAAATTGCTAAACTTCGAGCCATGCAGAGAAAAGCAAGATTTGCAAAGTTGAAGGTCTGTGTTTTCAAGGAAGAAATGCCCATCACTCCATACGAATGTCCACTTTTCAACTCTCTACGTTTTGAAAGAAATGATAGCGAGTCAAAACTATTTGAACATCACTGTGAAGTGGATGTATCTTTTGGCCCCTGGGAAGCTGTAGCTGATGTTTATGACCTTCTTCACTGTATTGTGACAGACCTTTCAGAAAGGGGAATTACTGTGGATCATCAGTGCATTGGGGTGTGTGATAAACATCTGATAAACCATTATTACTGCAAGCGTCCTATCTATGAATTCAAGATTACTTGGTGGTGAGCTGTTCTCCCTAGAAGGTGCAAAAAAAACCCCTAATAGACAATAATTGCTTTGAATATATTTTTGCAACATGTCTCTGGAAATGCATTGCTGCTGACATGCGCTGGAGTTCTCTTGCCGGCATGTTAGCTAATGCATAGCTGCTCAGCACATAGGGACCCATTACACGATAGTCTTGAAGCACCAGCCTGAAAAAGGACTGTTGGCTCAAGTATCACAACTAGGCACAAAGTCAGATTGCCACGTAAAAATGCGCTATTGATACCTTCCAAACGATGTCTCCATGCTTGCTGGTGTTTTATAACCACACAGTTGGAAAAGAGGATAATGCAACTTTTACTTCCATTAGCATAAAGTCGTGGGTGCTAGTAAAACTAGGACCATTTGAAAGCATACATATGTGGCTTCATTTTTACCCTTTCATGTAATAGTTTAGTCATCCTTCATCTGTCTCTGAAGCCAACATATCACTGACACAAAGATGTGAAAACTCAGATATAGCAGAATTTTTTAAAAAACGAATAATTATGTGTATGTTAAAGTTGGTTATGACTATTTATTAAGCTGTACTTTGGATTTCTAAAAGTTATTTATATAAGCTTTATAAGTCAGCATTTTCATTAGGTAATTTATTTTGAGTCCTATGATCCAAAGGACATTTAACAAATTTGGATGACATTCCTTCAATTATTTAGGGATAATTGTGCCTGTTCATAGCCTTAGGAACGATAACTGTTTACACTACCTGCAAAAAAGAGGAAGCACTATATGAAGGAAATCGTTTGCAAAGGCTTTGGGAATATGAGATAATGTTATAGTTATTCTCCAAATAACAGAGGTAAAAGGAACATCAAAGTATAAATTTACTCTATTCTTGACTTTTAAAAAAATTCTTGGTATTCTTATTGTGAAGCTGGAGATAAATAATGAGACTTCACAAATCCCCCAAAGAATTTTCAAGATACCTGAAGATCATCCCTGTTTTCTTTGTTGTAGCTTTTTAAAAATTGTTTTAACCTCTGTAATTCTTCTTTAAACATTTCTCCATTATCTATTAGGTAATATATCTTTGTAGCAAATTTCTTTTCATATTGAAAGAGATGCAATGGCAGGATCATTTTTCTTCCCAGGCACTGAAAATCAAAATTCAGAAATTTGCAAATCTCACACTTTAAAGCCCAGTTATTTCATTACATCCAAAATGAAAGAATATGTTTAAATACCAGGACATTTTACTGTAGGGAGGAGTTTCTTAAGTAATTTCAGTTCTTTTAAAAAGACACTTGAGCCAAATTTAAAACTGAATCTTGGGGGAAAAATAACAAATTGTGTATTTCTTCCTTGTTGCATTCCATTGCATTAATTCAACTTTTGACCAAAAGGCAACTTTCTATTAAGGCAACTTATATTTAACTTGCTTATCAGTCATCAAGAATCTCAGTAAGACTGAGTTAGGGCATTTTGAATGTAGCAGTAAGGATTTCTGTGCACAATGTGTCTTGGAAAAAAATGTTTTGAAGGAAATAATATTTTTTGTATTGATTAAACCTTCACCCATACTTTTACATATTAGATTTAGGAGTTTATGATACATCCTAAATTTAAAATGCTGTTCTTTGGGAGCTCAAAAGTTGTAAGGAGTGTTTTAAAAAGGAACACAATCAAATGCTGAGCTTATGACCAGAATTAAGTTCTGAAAAAGAAGCAGAAGACAACAATCTTTGTATTTTAAGTTGGTTGACACCTTTTTTTTTTTAGTACTTAATTTTTTTACCAGTCACCAGGTGGGTATATGACAGCCCATGTGTACATGGGCCAGGCTAGTCTGGAAACAGCCAAGAAAATTAACCAAGGTCATTTAATTAAGCAGAGTAAAGACTTATACATGAGTTCTCCACTTCTGTTGGCTCCTCAGCTTTGCTTTTTTTTTCCCAAAAGAAGGGACCCTTAAGCTGTAGACTGAACTTTCTAAAATAGATTCCAACTGGTCCAAAATGGAAGGTTTCTGCAGCTTTGATATCACATATTGTGAAAGTGATAGGGCTCAAGGTTTTTAGCAGCACTTAATATAATGACTAAAGATAGAAGAAGACTACAGTTTTGCTGAAGAGTTCAGTGATTTTTGCCACCGCTTACCCACCCGTGGAACGTGGCTGCAGTTTGAATGCCAATACTGTTGACTGAAATAATCCCTGATGCAGTGATTTAAAAGCAAGTTTGGGGGTTCGACTGAATTAGAATCACTTTCCAGCAGTTACACGACAGAAGCTCTGATGACAAGTTGGCTCTTTCTGATCGTGTGTTTTGCAACACTGGTTTGTTTGCCAGTGAATTTAATGACAACTTATTCTGGTTGGCCGTCTTAAAAATGGTCAGAAGGAAGAATCAAGATGTTCTATTTTGCATTTATTTAACAGTCTTTAATAACTTGATCTTCCATGAGATATAGAAAAAATCAGTGCAATTTAAGAAAAACCCACAAATATGAGCCATTATGCTTTCACTATTAACACACATTCTGTATCTTAGGACTTCATTTATGAGAGGCAACAATATTGCTATTGACTAGACTTGTTCTGAACATCCTTTTTTTTTTACATAGATTTTAGATGTTACTGCCTATTGTGTGTTCAATTTTTGACAAAAATTGAGAAGAGTTGTGCAGGAGGTCATGAGAGTATATTCTGATAACTTTATTTACTTGTGGTTTCTTGGCACATAGCATCACCTTTTTCAAATTCTAAATTTGCAAACTAAATCAGCAACACGCTCCCATGTATAAGAATATTTTATATGTAAAAATTGGCCAGTTATATTCTGGCGGCAAAGAAGTCTCTTTCAGTAGAGATATTTTAATGCAGGGGTGTCAAACTCATCTGGCCCTGTGGACTGGATGAGTAACCTGAGGCCAGTCCCCTGGACCCTGGATGTTCCCCTCCTACACCCCCCTCCCCAACCCGGTCAGATCCAATACACGTGGTATCTGCTGTGGTTGGTCTGGGACCTGCTGAGTGCTACCAGGCACCCTGTGCAGCACTGGTCTCGACTGGCTGGAGCAGGCACCGGTGCAGTGCACATCCTAGAGACCCTGGGGTGGGTGCCCATGTGGCACATCACCCAGGCTCTGCTCACAGGTCTAGGTCATTCATACCCAGGAATAGCACTAGGGGCCACTTAACAGGCTTCATGGGCTTTGTGGGCTGTATGTTTGACATCCCTGTTTTAATGCATCTAAGATTAACCATTCTGTACTCAGATGGACAAAACTCCACAGTGAATACTGCATCTATATATTAGCATAAATGAAGAATGGTGGTCTTGTCCAGAGCCTCGAATTTCCAGGCTTATCACCCTTTCTGAACTATGTGTGATCTAACATAGTTGTTGTACATGAATTCTTATTCTACCAGGGCTATCAGAGCATTACTGGGATGAAGAGAAATATCCATTTAGTGTTCAAAACTACAGTAGGTAAAATGTGTGTAACATTCAGTTTATACCGGCCAGAGCCTGTGTGAACAAGTATGTGTATAAATATAGCATAAAGAAGCCCATGGACCTATTTCTCTTTGTTCCTAGAGGTGTGTTACTCCCCTTGTCCGTGGAAACTGTCTATGAAAAATATTTAAAATATTTAGCTCTTATTAGTGATTGCTATCAGAGAAGCTTACAACCACTGACTGTTATTTGACCCCAGCAGTCTTTCCTGCCCAGAGCAAGGGGACTGGACATGATGATCTCACAAGGTCATTTCCAGTCCTAAACTGTGAATCTTAATTCTTGCAACAGCCTTTTGATCTTAAAGATAGGGCAATTGAATCAAGTAGGTTCAAGGACTTGTCCATGGCCACAACTGGTCATTCTCAGATCACAGGGTGAGCATTGAACAGATCCTGGTTCCCCAACCTACTGCTCAAATCACCAGATGATTCTTGTTTTATTTAAAAAGCTTGTGTGCAACAACATGAGCTGAAATCTTAACCACTGACTTTCTTAAGTAATAATATTGATCCAAGTTTAAAGAACAATGTTAAAGAAGATACGTTGGCAGAAACTGAACATCCTGTCCCATAGTACTTGTTTGATTTGCCAGTGTAATGTAGTGCTTGCTGTAGTCCATATATGTTTCTTTTTCTCAGTCTCAGAAGAGTTGGGTGAATGGCATAAAAAAGGTCTGAATTATTGGCTCTAATTAGGTTAACACTGACACATGAAAATGATTGCAGCCATTTGACAGGGGAAATGCTTTTATGGCAGTTCTCTCCTGTATTGGGGGAGAAACCAAAAGGGAGGTTTTAAAACAACCATAAAACTACCTGGAGAAATATAGCTGCTGTATCTGTGCAATAGACCGTGCTCAAGAAAAAACGTTTGAGACTGAAGAGGTAAAGCTTGAGAGACAAACAGGGAACAACTGTATAACAAACCGGTGGCAATTCCAGTTTTTATTGTGCAGTAAGTTGTCTGCGGATCTTAAATGTGGAGAACTCTCGAAGAATGTAAATCTGTCATAAGCTTCAGCATTAATGTCCCTGATGTTTTACAGTTGACACTCTAGCTAATTCATCTTAGATGAATAGAATATGCTGAAGGTGTTCTAACAAATAAAATGTGCAACCCCTTTCTGGCTTCTCAACAAGTCCCCAAAGAGGAGCTAACCGTGTACTTTGTAATCTAATTGAAATGTTCATCAAGAATCTTTACTGAAATTGGGAATTGATGGAACAGTGAAATAAAACAGTCAGCACGGGAAGCTGGCCAAGGCAGGTATTTGAAGGGAGGAGGCAGTGCTTCCTGTTCGTGAACCGCATTAATGTGTGCGATTACTCGGTCTGACTGGCCCTTTTGGCAGTTTCAACGCACACTTCACTAACTTCAGAAGGGTCAGCAACATTTAAAATGATTTCTAAAGACTTGCTGTATTAAACACTAATAACTTTTTGGGGCCAAAACATCCTGACTCTGTGTCCTATGCAAGTCAGAGCACAAATGTGGTGGTACTGTTTACAGTTTTAATCCATTTTTAGGCTTCCTGAGCTAATCTCTCTGATTGTTGTTTCTGTTGAGCACCCCTTCTCCCCCAAGCTGTATGCTTCCATGGAAGCCATTCAGTGCTTTTAGTGTGCTCTTTTTGTTATAATTATATAACCATTAGGATGTGTTAACTTCGTAATTTATGCCCTGATGAAATGAGGATTTCCTGCTTTTTTTTTCTTGTTTTCCAGCTATAACTTAGCTGCTAAGTTATATAAGGCATAAGGAGATCAAGTGACTAGCCTGAGAATACAAGATGAGGTAATGATGCTGACAACTCTTCCCACCCCTCCAACTTGCTCTTTGATCTTTAAACTCCAGAGGTTCCTTGGATGCTGTCTGGGCAGGAGGTGTGTCACCCTGTAAGACTGCATGCAGGAATTTCACGTGTGGGGCAAAAAGGAGGAGTACCCAGTCTGCACATAAAATATCCCTGGAAGTTACAGGCCGATAGCTGTCACTTCCTATAGACACTGACATTCTCATTAGTTGCTAAGATGTCCCTGAGGCAAACAATGCTTTCTTCTTATTTCTTTTACTCATTTCCTCCTCCTTTCACTTGTTTTCCTGTAGAGCATTATTTAAGAAAAAAAAATCCATTTATAGTTGTTGTTTTAAGTAATGCCATGTATTCAGCCCATGGTGCCTGTCTGTGCTTTTAGTTTCTGAGGATATCATTGATGAGTCAAGGAGTCTGAGGACAACATCATATCGGTATGCCTCTCTAGTCGCATCTTCAGATCACACTAAGCATGGTGGTCAATCAGGAATTCTTGGCCCCATCCAGCAATAGCGAAAGTGCCATTGGTGAAATTGTCATGCCAAAGCCGATGGTTTGCAGCCGACAGAGACTTTAATTTCTTATGCTCTGGTTTTGTGAGAGGCAAAGAAATGTTAATTTCCACCATACTTTCTTGTGAAGTCTGTCAATTGGTCTGGTCTCAGTGGCAAAAGGCTTGGCTACTTCAGGTTTCTCCCCTTGCTTGCTACTGACTGTTCTTTCTGTTGCAAGGCCACGTAGGTTCGCCAGGTGGTAAAATTGGAGTGGGCTATTGAATTAAATCCACTGATGTAGGGCAATATCTGAGGAGGTAAATAGTAGCGCCTCCTCCCAGCCTGTGATTCAGCCATAGTTAATGGCAGAGTTAAGGATGTGTTGGAAGAACTCCAGGCTACATCCCGTGCTTTGCATCCCTGCCCTTTGCACGTGGCAAAATGCATGTGTGGGATCGTGAAGCTGATCAGGGAGGAATCAGGGCAGGGATTCAGAGCACAGTCTCTGTGACAGACCTTTCTTTCCCCTCTTTGTTTTAGTAACTCTTGAGAACAATCTTTGGACACTTCTGTCTTAAGACATAGTTGGCAGTACTGAACCTTGCAATTATGCTGACTTGTATAGTTATTTGTGGCTTTAAACCATTTTGTAATGTTTCCCTCTACTTCAGAGTGGATATGAGGGAGTCTTGTGTTTTTCAGTATGTAAACTATTTAAAATTCAAACAAATGTGCAAGTTTGTTTCTCTTTCTCTGAATAAGCTACGTCTGAGCTGAGAACTATGAATCGCAATTTATTTATGTATATAGGTCTCCAACTGGATGCAAATTTCCAGAACAATGGTCCCCAGTCATTTTACTTGCACAGATTTAGTATGAGTTTATGACTAGTTTCACTGTGACTTTATAAGTGGTTTTTATTTTGCCAAGTTATAAATTGTTTAGGTCTCCATCCATTGTTACCCTTCATGTCTTGTGGGGAGAGGGGAACACACAATCCTTGGCCCTAGTGACTGGGTATTGGAATGATTCCAAATTTGTCCAAATTTGTATTATTTTGTATTGTTTTATGATGAAACAAGTTGACGATCAATGTTATTTTAACACAATGGATTCTGTAGCATCCTGTGTCTTACTACACATTGCTTTTAAATTCCAGGTAAACTGGGTAATGTATGTATTTTTATTTGAAACATGTGAAAGGTAACATTTTATGTATTAAAGTCTCAGTGCTGTGAAATAAATTATTAAAATGGTCAGTATTGGTTTTGATCATCTGAACGGTATAACTTGGCACCAAAAACTCTGCCAAAACTCGAAGCGCACTTTCAGGAGCATGTGAAGGAAGAATTCAAAAATTAATCTAATCTAATCTAAATATTAATCTAATCTAAAAATTATTGACGGTCGTGGCAGACATCGCTCCGCAAAAACTCAAGTAACATCACATTCACAGCTCTGGGTCACAACTGCAAACCCCTGAAATACTGTGAAAGGGCAATCAGGACTCATAGCAGAGATGCTGTCTTAGAACAAGATTTTTGCCAAAAAAAAAATCTTTAATTGCAAGCTTTTGGGCACAAACACCCTTCATCAGGCATTGGAGAAAAGATTGTTAAAGTTCTCCTGGGTAGACATGAAAGTGGGTATCTCATATAGAGGAGTTAATCGATGGAAAATTCCTCTGGGCAGTCGGTTCATAGCTGGTGCGGACCCTCTCCCCTCCTGCCAGCTCCGCGGGGGAGCAGAGCGCTGCTCCCAGCCCACGTGCGCGGCGGGGCGCCGGGGCGCGGATGGCTCTGGAATGCGGTGACGTCACAACCCCGCCCCTCCGCTCCCCTCCCCGCCGGCAGCTGTCACCGCGGAGGGGCGTGATCGGAAGTGACGCAGGCGCTGCCGTGTGCGCAGGCGCAGCGGGGGGAGGGGCGCGCGGGGCCCGGCTGAAGGGACCTGTCTGCGCCGCGACGGTCGCGCAGGTGAGTGGGGCCGGGGCCGGGGCCGGGGCATCGGTATCGGTATCCCCCGCCTTTCTCCCGCACCGGGGTGAGGTGGCGCCGCAGCCCTGTCCGCCTCCCTGCTGAGGGGCAGAGCCGGGTTAGTTCTTCACAGTCGCCGTCGGGCCGGCCTGGCAGACCGCTGCGGCTGCTGCTTAGGACCCCGGCCTGAGCCGGCTGGTGTCTTGCGGGGGACTGACCTTTCTCAAATCGCAGGAAATAGGTTGTTTTCTGCCCAAAATTTAGCCTTAACCCCTCCTTCCAAATCCTCCCCCCACAAAAAACCTCCCAAAAACAAACCAATCAGGGCTCATGGGCGGAGGTGATCTCTTGTATGAGACCAACAAGATTTTTGCACAGCGAAATGCTTTAATTGCAAGCTTTTGGGGCACAAATGCACACACACATACACACACGCGCACACATATGTGTGTGTGCGCGCTCATATAATGTTAAGGTTTTTTTTTTACGCTCATCCATAGTTTTCAGTATTTGCCTCCCC